TTTTTTTTTTTTTTAAACAGTTAACATTCCAAACAGTTTTACATATTGGAAAACGCAATTTTTACAGATGTTCGACATCCATAGATCATTAGTCTGGATAAAAATAAGATTTGTTCATATCAGTCTAAAAACACTGCTTAAACAGTATGAAAGTTTACATAAAATTATTAATCAAATGGTTCACTTCATTTTTTTTTTTTTAACAAGATTTACAGTATTTGTGAATTTTATTTGGAGTTTAAAAGAAAAAAAAAATTTGCCAGTTTAATTATTTGCTTTTATTTTCCACTGTTCTGTTTAGATAGCATATGCTTGCTTAATTTGTTTCGCTTTCATATGTAGTGATTTGTTTGACGTCTACCCTTTACAACGAAAAAATAACAGTTAATAATTGTTTTACAAAAAAAGGTGTTTTTTTTGGTTTTATCAGACAATTTTTGAAAGCTGTAAAAGCTGTACAATCATCAGTGCTAATGATCGTACCGGTGACAACCCTAAACAGTTGCCGATTTATATAAAATTATTTTAACATTGAAAAGACAACTCTGATCAACAACAATAACGACGACGAAAAGCACACCACTAACCAGCAGGTAAGCAGTTAGATGGATATATGCATAATGCGGGTTGTTTAAAGAGAAGGGAATATAAGTGCCGATGTTGTTTCTGCTTAACCTTTATGTTTACAATCGGCTTTTGCAGTTAGTGAAAAGGTTTAAAGCTTTGAAAACAAACTGTGCACAACATTTAATAGTTCCCAGGTAACACTATTTGTAAATTTGTCCTATTATCCAACAAAACAACAATGACGACGGAACTGCAAAATTGATGAGCTCTGTATCCAACAAATTAAAACTATTTCTGAATGCGGCTTGCAAAATCAACAATGTATCAAACTGTTACGTGCATTTCTTCAATTGTGGCAAAAAGAAAAAAGACCCTTCTCGTTAGAATGAATCCAACTAAATTTCAAGACTGAATGATTAAAAAAAGAAAAAAGTGATAAATCAATCCAGATAGGTACAACCATTAAACTATACGACCAACAGAGAAAACGGATAGCATAACATAAACAACAGAAGAAAGAAGAAAAAAGGCTGTAAAAAAAAAAAAAAAAAAAAAATAATTGTAAAATTTTTAACAAAGTAAG